AAAATTGTTGGGAGTGGAGAGGAGAAGGGGGTGGGAAGTTGGGCTTTTGAAATAGACTAGGTGGTATTGTACGCTAACAGAAGTGCTGTAATATGTGGATTGCAAGCACTAAAATGATAGACTTAATTTTCAGTGGAGTTTGAATTTTATGTGACCACGTTGCTGGAATCAAAGGTGGTTGTTCTAAAGTGTGACTATTGAGCTGGTTTTCAGTTTCATTTAAGCAGCTGATGATAAATAAATGAAAAGTCCCTCCAAATCCCAAATCGTGCTCATGTTTCCAGGGTTTAAATACAGTCGGAGAGAATATCGTTGGATTTTTATGTATAAAATGGAAGAATGGTTGAAATGGTATGCACTGTGGAGAAATGTCAGGAATCCAGAGGAAATTGAATGAAAATGCCTGGAAAAAAAATATCAACTTTGATCAGCAGGTACATTTAGCTTAATAGATGAAATGCCATAGGCAGGCAGTGGTTTATCACAAAGATGCTGTGAAATTTCCATACAGAAAAGATAACTCTTTGATGCTGGTGTGCCGCTCATGGTATCGTTATGTGTATCCGGAAAATGACAGGACATAGATGTGTAACACACATATGCACATATATATGCATTTCGGAATACTGTGTGAATTAAAATTGTGACTTAGCTTCTAGATAGTGCCGTGCTTGGTACTTGCACCTCGGTCTCTGATTTAAAGACCTTATATATGGATATGCAGTCAGCACTGCATTTAGTATGATGATCTGCTTGCGTTGATGAAAAAGGAAAGGATTCATTTGGCAGCACTGTTTGCGCTTCTTGAAATGCCAGTTGGCGTGGCAGACCTATTTATCTCAGCCAGTGTAAATTTACATGCTTATTCTGGCTTTGACGCCTGCCTGACGGGCAGGGCCATCCCACCGCCTGCCTGCGTCCTCAGGGAGTGCTCTTGGTCTAACACGCCGTTTGACAAAACGTACCTGGTGCCGAATGTTCCGGCTCTGGGCTATGGGTTCTTGGTGCTGTAATATTTCTTACCCAACGCATAGCTATGAGACTTTTACCCTCTGTCTCCCGCTGTTGGGTGCCCAGCCATCGTTGAGCTACTGAGGGAAGGAGGGGAGGCAGAAGTGGATCGAGTGAATGAATAGCATAACCAAGGCAAAGGCTGGCAGCAATAATGCCTGGAGTCTTTTTTTTTAACTTTGATGTGGCCTTGTCCTCAGGCTGCCCGTCCATATCCTTTTGGAAAGATTTGGGATTCCTAATGTTCATATATCGAGATAAGCTATATACAATTCTGTGTTACTGAAATTTATAGAATTTGGACTTGCCTAGATAACATGATGCCTGTGTAAAAATAAATACCCTGTAAATAGTTGTTCTGTTTGAGACTCTTGAGGACAGGTACCTTTGCTTTGCAAGCATCTTTTTCCCAAAGCACGGTAACAGTAATAGAAAATGTAGAAGATTATATAATAGAATACTATAAATGTTGTGCTAGGGTTGTTGTTAGTTTTACTGAGAATAGTGAGATGTATAGGAATTGACTTTTAAATAAGTCAGTGGTAATGCTTGAATGTAAGCAATGAATCATGATCATAGGTTACAAAACTATTTTAACCATTAGGGGATGGAGCAAAGGTACCATTCAATGCTAAACACCAAAATTAGAGATGCATGACTGAAATTTCAAGGTAATGTATTAGCAGTATTGCATGAGACAGTCACATGAAAAAGATCGTGAGGTTGTGAAACGGATTATGATCATGCTTTAGTCATGAATTTCCTGGTAGAGATATTTTAGTCTTGATTATGCTTTTGAAAAGCAGAATAGTTGGATTTTGCTAGTTCTGGTTACCTTCCCGGTATATCACAAAGGGGGGGAAAAGGGTGTCCTACCTACAAAAGTAGTATCCTTTGAGTAACTGAACTTTACTTAAACTTGAGATGCTGTTTTCAATATTGGGAAGCCGAAGGTAAAAAGGTATTGAACAAGTTGCTGAAGTGTTACAACATACTAAATGTACTTACCTGCTGCGGCCATCTTCTACGCAAGCACGTGTACATTTGTCCTTCTCCCAGTGCTTTCATTTGTCTTGTATGACAAGAACATCCATAACTGCTTATTCCAGATCTTGAACATGATCTTCATATTAAGTAACGTTCACCATTGTAAATCCTCAGTTGATGTAAATCAGCATATTCCTGTAGGAATCTGGAGTTAGTCTGCCAACACCTATACACCTGATCCAGTATCTTTACTCACCGCCAGAGCGTCAGCACTTCATGGGATGATGCAAGTTAGAGAGCCTAGGTTTTGAGCCTGTGTGGAAAAGAGCGTATGTCCCTTATTTGAAGGTTATGGAATGAGTTCACAGGCAATCGTACAGCCTGAGGGTTGATTCAGTCCAAAGACTCATGGATAAAGCTTTGCAACCTGCTCTGCTCCGCGGCTAACAACTCTGTACATTTCTGCTTCCTCGAAGGAGAATGGAAGAAGCTTCTGGAAGGTGCTCTGAGACCCTTTTAATGTTCATGTATTAATCCCAGTGATATATTTATAAGAACATTAAAGATGCCTGAAAAAGACTCTGTGAGTAAAAAAAAAAAAGGCTGAAAACCATCTCTCAGTAAATATTGGGGGTGAATGTATCATACTAAATTTCTTGAAAAGGTCTGTCACAGCCCCTAAATTGATGCCTGAAATATATGGATGCTTGAACTAATGACAGGCTGCAGTCATTTCAGACAGATGATGGAGCAGTTATTCATAAAAATGAAACAGTAGCGTACAATGGTTACCCATTCACCTATCTGATATTCCTGGAATCAATTTTCACATGGATGCCTCCATTTGACAGATTTTTCTTCCGATTCTTACATCTGTAACTAGGTCAGTATTGGAAAAGATTTCTGCTTTTTTAATCTTGTAAAAATTTGAAGCTTCAGTGAAAGGTGAATTTTTATTCTTCATGTTTGCAGAGGTTAATAGGAGAAAATTTTTCCCCCAGTCTTCTGTGCTAACTCATTTATTTGCTGTATAAAAAAGATGACCTTCCCCTTTTTCCAAATTTATGATGTCCATTTTGTCATTAAGCTATGCAGCCAGGAAATGGAAAAGTCAAGTGGTATGATTCTTTTTCTCTGTCTACCTGTTGGAAGTACAGGAGCTTCTAATAGATTTTTTTTTTTTTTTTTTTTTTTAAGTACAGCTAGGTGATTGCAAGCACATAAGCACGGAATATCAAGTTACTATTTTAAGAAGTAAAAATGGATAAGTTTAAAATATTTGTGCTTTGTTGTAAAGCAATTTCCTCATCAGCTTCGTGTAACACATTTCAGTTAGCAACTGGGATGGGGAAGAGAACGCGTCTTTGTGAGCGTAAGGTCAGTCACAGGGTTCTAGTAGAGGTGTACATATGGAACTAAAAATGCTTTCAGTGTCGAAAAAGATCAAAGAATTGTGACCCGTTATCCTATAACTTGCATCCTCACGTTTGCTACAGTGCTTTGGTGGCATGTGAAGGTACAGAATACAGGTAGATGGAGCTCTGTGGTTATCCTTCCTCTCGGCTCTTATTTCCTCCTCCGTCATATTCTAAATTTTACCAGTTATGTGTAAAAGCTCTCCTTTTGTACTCATTTCCTTTGTCTTTTTCTATTCGACTCACAAACTGCTGAAATCAACCAGGAAGCTTCGTGCCTGCCTTCCTTTGGTTATTTGGGAAAGAAGTGCCAATATGACTTTTAATCTGGACGGCAGAAGAAGGCTGTGAGAGCTTGAGAGCTTTGTTTTGATAGGAGGGCTTGGTTGTCTGCCGCATATATCTGGCAGAACTGGTGTAAACGTTACACGTTTTATTTTGCCTGGTACCAAAGGGAACAAATTAAATGTTGCTAGAAAGCCCTGGCAGCGTTTGCGTGAATTTTTACGTGTGTTTTAGAGAATATCCTCTACCCAAAATAAGTCTGTAGAAAACAGAACTTATAAAATGCAATTCTTGACTTATTTTTAGCTTTTTAGTTTGGCATGTTTTTTATATAAACGTAGATTTTTTTTTCCCTTGAAGTTTCTTTTGTAACAGGTTTTTGTATCTATATTTTGCTAGCAAATGTAAACAAAATAAAGTCATATTTTCTAAAATAGTCAGTTGTTTACAACTCTGAATACATGGTAGACTTACGCAGTGTCTTCATCAGTATCTTAAAGATGAATAGTAAGTTTCTTATAGCCAATACTGAATTGAAAACCGTGTTATCTAGCTGATATAATTTTTGAACATCATTACAAAAGAGTATGACTTAGAGCCTGCCAGTGTAACAGTGTTTCTTGAGTTGCATAAAAAAGAGATGTTTTCTATGTAACCTTACTTTTAAATGAACATCTGTATGGATCTTTGGGATCAGTACACCCATGCAAGTAAGAAGTATTAAGTATTAAAAATGGGGGCAAAATCTGTTTAAGCGATACATTGAAGATGCTATTAACAACTTATTGTTAAATAGCTATTCTGCTTTCCATTTAAAATTGGGAATTGGACAGCATGTGTGCTTAGCAGCAAATGGGAGAACAAGTGATGTTTGGATTTTCAACTCTATTATCTGCCACTCATCCCCATAAATAAGAAAATACTGCAGTATTATTTGTGAAACAGATTTTTTATTCCTTTGTAACTTGTTTTTTAACAAGATTTTTCAATATTGTAACTTGTCATAAGCATAGGTGTCTCTGAAAATATACATGAACGAATATTGTTATGAGAGACTATAAATGCTGGGGTTTTTTGTTTGTTTGTTTATTTTTTGTAACCCCCTCCTGTAAGTATGGCATGTACGAATGCATCTCTCTCTAAAATACTCAGAGCCCATCTTACTGTTGGATAGAGAAGTATATTAGTAGAATTTCTGTGCTAAAAAAAAAAAAATTATTCTGTTAATGCTAGTACTGGAAGAATAAATAAACCGTAGGTCATTGAGTTGATGCAGATATGTTCCGGGAATGGGTACAGTAAGAATGTTAAGAAAGCTTTTACACTGAAGTGCTTCCCCTTGTGTCTCTTGTAGGAAACAGAGATGAAGGTACACATGCACACAAAATTTTGCATCATTTGTTTGCTGACATTTATCTTTCATCAGTGCAATCACTGCCATGAGGAGGGACACAACCATGGTCCTGAAGAGGAACATGTACACTACCATAATGACTATCAGATCTCACAGGCATCCTATTTCCAGAATGGAGGAACAGAATCTATGCCGAGTAAATTTTCAGCGTTGGAAGCTGAAAATGAACAAAAATACTACATTGAAAAGATTTTTGATCGTTATGGTGAAAATGGAAGATTATCTTTTTTTGGTCTGGAAAAACTCTTAATAAGCCTTGGTTTAGGAGAGGTAAAAGTAGTGGTGATAAATCATGATGATATTGGCCATGATCATGTTTCCCACTTATATGCTTTAGAAGTACAGGAAGGAAAGCATGCTCACTCTCATAACCATCCTCATTTTCATAGCCACCCAGATTCTGAAAACCAAACCATGATTGGTATGGCTGCAAAGAGAAATCGTAAATGTGACCTTGAGAGAGACACAACAGTGTCATCGGTAAAATCTGATGGTAAACATGTTCGCGACCAGAGTCGCCATCACCATCATCATTATCCTCATCTACATCATCATCTTGACCGTAACGGTACGCATCATTCTCACAATGATTCAGTTAGTCATAGTGAACATGGAGAACAGAACCACGAACCTTCAACAGAAACAAATACAACACAGGATCAGCCTGAAAGAAAACAACGCAAACAGAAGAAGAGACGAAAAGGAAAGAAAATCAGTGGGACTTCAGTAGATACTGCACAAGATTATGCTCCAGATCATGATTCAGGTGATCAGTATGAGCACAATCATGTTCATAAACATGATCATGTACACGATACATCTCACTTGCATGTACACCTTCATGAACACGGTAACGATCATTCTCCTAGTCATGGACGTCAAGATTCCAGTCTAGGCAATGAGGATGGCCATCATCACACCAGCAAGCGAGAAGCACCGCACAAGCAGATTAGCGTAAGAAAACATGCAATTTTTTCAACGCGTAGTCACAAGGATCATAATGAAGATGAACGTGATCGTGAAGAGGTGAGTGTGAACAGGACAACTGGTAAGTACGCTTCTCTTATTGTTACGTAGTAATGGAAGATGCGCACTCCCAAATGAAACAGTAGCAAGTGTTTGCAATGATTGCATAATAAAGGTAGAAGAGTGAATACACTAGGAGGCCGCAGTTCTGAATTTACTTTATGGACTTTCATTCCTGTCTACCTATATCATCCGTCTTTTCTGGGAATATCTTGCCTGTTTATCTCTGTATAAAGGAGATACTTCAAGTTTTCTAAGATAATCCTGCTTACAGGGATTTTTTTTCCATCCTAAAATTCACAAATACCGTTTTTCCCTGTAGTTTTGGACTTTTTCCTGAACCTAAGGTTATAACAGTTTTGGAAACTGCTGGACTCATTCCTCAAAGAAACACATGCATCTTCTCACCATGCCTCTAATTTCTTGATCGTAAAACAATTGTGAAGGAAGGTGGATGTAGCTTCTGTAGTGCTGTGTGCTCAGTGTAGGTCTGCTCTTTGATTTCTCCCTTCAGCATTCATTACTTCTGCCAGAACTCTTAATTTATTTTCCTTTCCCCCTCACAGTTAAATCTACAAGCAGGATGGTGTGATGTCTTGATTTTAAAGTAGCGATCGGAATAGTACAATATTGAGTGGGTGCCGAGTTTGAATTTTTAGACTAAATTTAAAAATGAAACTCAAAACACGCAAGGTGGAATGAGTGGAGAGAAGTATTTAAAAAACTGTGTAGTGGTGAAGAATATGGAACTCTTGTTTTCATTGGCATTCATCAAAAACTGTGTAGGTGTTTGGAGGCCGAGTTGCATAGCACAGATATTTTCCCCCTTATTTTTTTTCCCCCTCGAAAACCTCTTAGATCAGCTTAGACATGTTTCAGCAATGATGGAATGTTGTGCATCAGAGTGTCTCTCCTTCTCTACATGTTCTCAAATCATACACTAAATTTTGCATAACTAGTTTTTAATCAAATAATGGCTTTCATGTTTAATTTGTTTGTACAATTTGCTTGCAGTGCTTAAATGTTACCCAGCTGCTACGGTACTATGGTCTGGAAACCAGCTCTCCAATATCTCCTGAACTGTTTATATACATGTGTCCTGCTCTGCTATACCAGATTGAGAGAAGGCTTTGTATTGTACACTATGATGAGCTTGAAGATTTTATGAAAAATAAAAATGTATCAGTTGAGAGTAAAGATAAAACAGGTGCCTCAGGTAAGTGTGTAATATCCAAGGCCTTTGAAATTATTTTGCATTATAAATATAAATTCTTCAGAGTTTGAAATGCCATACAGCTTAGCGTTGACTGTAGAGTGAAGGAAACTTGACACTTAGCATATTCATTAGAAGAAATATGAGACAGTGTGATCCTTTAGGCCAGCAGAAGTAGCGTTCCGTTGTTTGATGGTATGATAGCTTCTCCTACCTGACTCTGGCTCAGGAAGGCATACCTTTCTTTCTTATACCTTTCCAGCTTTCCTTGTTATTTTCGCTTCTATTTTTATTTTATTTTTATGTTTGCTTACTTTTATTTCTATTTTCTGTCAGTGAGATCTGACGGTTGTGCCCCAGCCGTTTTGGCCTAGATTCACTCCACCTAACTTTAGACGTTGGACTTCCTTGTAGTAGGAGCGTAGGCAACATACTTTGTTTCCCTGTTTGTCTCCATCTTTGGAAATAGAGGCACCTCTAGGAGGTGAGCGAGTCCACTTACCCTTTGTATTGTTTCCATCACTTAAAATACCGTCTTTTTCTCTTGGTGTGACTAAGGTAGTACAGGCATTTGTCCACAGGTTGGAAAATTGTAGACTGACTTTGACACAAATTTTCATGATAAATTTGACCTGAATGTATTCATTTAGAAAAAGAGGACAGTACCTGCATTGCAGTTTGTTCCCTGGAAAATAGAATTTTAGGTTTTATCACTTTGATGTTCTAGCAGTGATGCAACTTTGTAGAATTGGCATCCAAAATTTTAGGAAATTTAGGAAAAATAAGGACTCAGAGGAGCATTTAAATACAAGAACCTTTAAACAACTATTTCTTGAAACAATAATTCACTTTTCTGACTTGGAATATCAAAATATTTTATTTCATTCCTCCTTCACTCTTGAGCGTATTGGAAGTATTCAATCAAAATCCCTCATTGGCTTTGTGGGTTTTTTTTTTTTTTTTAAAGTTTTTTGAGTCTTGAGTAAAAGTAGACTTTATTCTTCTTGCTATAATTTTAAGCTAAAAATATTTTTACTGCTTTTAAAGCAGACACTTTAAAGGCAGCATCCATTGTTTTGATTTCATAGCTGATTGTACTTTTTAAATTTGTTTGCTGCTGCCATCATCCGTAAACTATACTTGAACTGTTGACAGACGTTTTACTGGGATGTGTCTATGATGTGAAACTACTAAAATCTAAAAAAATCTTGGAAAATGTCCTTGTTCTGAAAACAAAAATATTTATAATTGTGAGTATTGATTAGTGTGTACGTGCTTATTAGCATCGTTAGAAATCAAGCTTCAAGTAATTACATGCTGATGGATGTTAATACCTCTTGGAAGGAATGCATTCCTGGTAGTTATTTTTAGTGACTGCGGTATCATTAAGAAAGATTAACTTGTTGCATATAAATTTTTCATAGTGACACAGCTACTGTCTCATTGACTGTTCAAAGGTTGCTGTTAAACTCAATATCCTGTGTACGGTAGCAAATCGTTTGTCTTGTGGAGTAGGCTCATTTTAGTCAGAGTTGACCCTTCCTTTATTACCAAGAAGATTTATAGAATGGCCCTAAGCATTTTCTGGCAATTAAAAGGTTGAAACTGTGTAGAAAACTGTCACTGCACATGCTTTGAACCGGTTTAATTGGGAAGTTTCTACAGCTGAGCGCTTCCTTCTAGAAGAATGCATCTGCTTTCTCTGTCACGAGTAAGGAAGTTGATGAATTACTAAGCTTGAAGACGTTTAACGTTTTAAGAGACCTAATTTGCAAAATCAGTGAAGCTTATTTTGGCACAATTAACATGTTTTATGGCATCTGCTGTCTTGAGGATAAATAACACATTTGCCAGTTAATTGTAAAAATTCAAGTTTTGTTAATTGTGCTCTGAAAACAAACTGTAAAAACAGATCAGCTTGATTAGATAGTAAGTTATTCTTCATAACAGTTTCATGTATACTGTGATATCCACTAGAACGAAACTTCAGTTGATGTAATAAAGCTCTTCCTTTATTAAGAAGTGAATCACAAAATAACAAATCTTAACTGGTATTCAGGGATTGCAGGAGGTGTAGGACTAATGTCAGTCTTTGAGTAACTTAACCTGGAGCTAAGCTGCTGTGCGACTCTAGTAAAATGAAAGTACGCTTAGCCGAGCTAGTGTAAGCGTTCGTAGATAGAAATCTTTGTCAAAGTCGGGAGGATGCAGAGAGGTTTTTAAACACATGATTTCTGTGTTTTTCTTTAGTTTGAATTACAAGCTTTCAAAAGCCTTTATAGACCAGTGCTCTTCTGTTCCCACTTAATAGCTTTTAAGGTTTTCATTAGGTCTGATACTTCAGGTTTCTAAAGCCAAGTAATTTAATTAAGTGATGACCAAAAACTTATGAAACCACCAGGTTTGTTCTCATAATTGCAGATAGTTCTGTAGCACCTTCTATTGGAGGATTTTCAAGGATTCTGTTTCTCTCTCAATATTTTTGTCTGTTCAATTGAGTTATCACAGGGCACCTGTTAAAAGAGGTGACATTGTTATCATTGGCAGCTCTTAAGCAACTTAAAAGGAAATATAAACCCTGCTGTGAGTCAAGCTGATCTCTTGATGGTTACTGGACTTTCAGCTACTTAACAGAGGAGCAGGCAGAGGGTTGTGTGATATAGGTGATTCTTCCCCCCCCACTTCCCATCACAGCCTCGGCTTCTCCCTCTGCTAAGTGGTCACCAAGAGTCTAGCTGGGCTGTCTAGCTGGTGACATAGGGCTGTCACCTGTTCAGAAAAGTAGGTCCTGGGTATGGTATACCAAGTAAAGCTTTTCATGTAAACTTTAGTTTTTGAATTTGAATAATCTAGAATCAGTAAGTAGGAACACTCTTCAGACTGGGCAACAGAATAAATTTTCCATATTTGAGAATCACAATGTTTTTTCTACAGTTTCTAATTATTAGAGAGTTTATGTTGTTTATAGTTACTGGACAGTCTGCCACTTGTGTGTGTGTGTGTTTTTTTTTTTTTTCTTTCAAGTTCAGTTCACTTGTATCCTAAGCTCTACAGCTGGTTAATTGTGAACAGACTCATGCTACCCTGATTGCTTAATTTAGTTCTTCTGAAGCGGGGCCTAAATTTGTAGCAGTTCACTGTTCATATGAATACTATAATGTACCGTGTTGGCAAAAGTCTTTTAGTCTCTTGGTGTAATGTACGTATGGTTTGTGTTATGTACCTGTAGAATAAAAAACCATGTATGCCTCTCAAAGAAACACGTTATCCTAGTAAAAGTGCAAGGGTTTTGAGAATACAATTTCATCTACTTGCCTACAAAATACTGTAATGTATACCTACCTTGAGATTCTAGCCTCTCGCGAAAGCAGCAGCATTGAGAAGTAGTACAAGTAAAGGACAAGTCATTTTTTCAAGCCGAGGACCGTTTAGAGCTGCTGCTTAAAAGCATTTCAGATCAGATATATCTTGTAAATCAGTAAATCTGCCTGTGCAGATGCCAGCTTTCCCTGGAGCTTACCGTTCCCTAACTTGAGGAAGGCTTTGATTCATCGCAACCTATTAGCTTGCTTTTTCTTCATAAAGCTTCCAGGTAGCTAACCTTTTTTAGCCTCCCAGCAAATCCACATTATTATCCTTTTAGTGTGTTTTGACTGACAAATAGCTGTGCAAATTTAGTGTGTGCTACCCACTGTTTGAACAGAGGTCCCTTACTGAGGAGACTGTTGGGTCACTTGCCTCTTGCTTTTTCCATAGAATATTTTATAACCCAGTACACAATAACTTCACCTCATTGACCAAGCCTCACGCAGCATTCCTAGGACTGCTGCACGTCAACATCTTTTATTACTTAAGAGGTCTTCCAGTGTTCATAATACTGCATGTTTGTTCTACTTCCATATTTTAGAGTTTTAGACATTACAGTTGTATGAAATCCTTCAATAACATTTTATGTTGCAGTGTTGTCAGAAGTCTTCCTTAGCAGTCCTTTTTTACGAGGGAGCAGCTTTATCACAATCTGAGTGTTTGTGTTTTTACATATAATAGATTTAGACTCGACAGTGGCCTTTTGCTGGTAATTCCGGTTCCATACCATTCTAAAGTAATTCTGGTTCCATACCGTTATTAAGAGTTTGAACAGATACAGACAGAAGCTGGAGGCCATAGCTTGAGAGAGAACTCCGTAGCTTACTCGCTGTAATTGTAACATGCCTCATCTTAATCATGGTTCCATCTTTAGATGTTGTATCATTTGTAAGAGTGCGTGAGCCCTTCAGAGATGCATTTGCCAAATCTGTGCTATGACATATGAAACTTCAGCCAATTTATATAATATCCTTTCCCTTCCTGATCTCCATGTAAGGCTGTTGGTCATTTAACCTGGAACTTAAGGTCATAACATCTGTGTCTACAGTGAAGATCTAATGTCCTGCCACATGGCTCTGCAACTTTAATTTGAGCTACTTCTGCATATGCATTGTGGTACAATATTGAATTACATGTCCATGTATACTGTTTCTTTCAGGAGGGCCTGTTCATCCCGTGCACATGATTGAACTGCTCTGGGGATGAATCAAAGTTATATAGTGACGGTCTTTTGGTCTGCAGGGTCCTGCTTCCAATCTAGACCTCTTTTAGTATTCCTATTTTTCAGTTTCTACTTGGTTCCTCATCTGATTCTTTTTGTCTCGCTACCTACTCCCCGTTTTCCTTGTGGTATCAATATCCATTCCAGTCTATTCTGCGTACTTCCTGAAGTTTTTTCCAGTCAGTTCCTCTTGGAGGACGTGCCTTTGTACCCTTTGCATTTGCTTTAGATTGTTTCCTTTCCTGCAGTGCTGTAGAGTGAGACAGACAGCCTTCATAGGAATGAATTTTCCGTATAAAGCAGCAGATGTCGTAAGTTGCGGTGTTGACCCTGACCTGGCCTGCAGCAGCCACAGTTCTAGTGGCAAAGAAAATCTCGTCAAATCTGATCTGTAGTACAGTTTCAGTACAGATAGATTTCTTGGGACGTTTGACTGCTACAGTGTAGAATTCACTGAGCACGTTACAATCTTTCCCCCTTATTTTTCACTCTCCTCCCCTCTTGCACTCGATCAAAAACGAGCGGACTTTCACAGGCGTAACAAAAGTTGGATCCTACAACAAAGCGTCAAGACGCTAATGATTTTAAACTAAAAAGTTGCTAGCTTTTTTTAAGTTGGCGAAATGTGTATTTTTGATTAAGAATGAAGCTAGGAAAAAAAAAAACGGAAATGCCTGAAACATCTGGGCTAAAACCTTAAAAAAAAAAAAAAAAAAAAAAGTCCAGCTTGAGGAAATCATGCGCTTGAAAACCCAGATAGTTAATGTTTGTAAAACAGGACTCTGTAATGAAAATTGCTGGATAGCGGTAACAGTTTGCCCTCTCTCTGTATGTATATGTATATATGTGTATGTCTGCATGTTCGCTCGCTCTCTATAACGTATTGCTTTCCACAGTGGCACTGATAGTTTAAGGTTTAACTAGCTTTATGGATAGTACTGTGCATGAATCTTACTTAATTTAACAATTCTCTGTGTAAATCTATAATTGTGTCATAAATATGCTTATATCTTTCAGTGTATTGCTGTGATACTGTTGAGAAGAGTCAAATCTTAAAATTTGTAGCCACTAACCGTTCCCATCTTTGGGACTGTGAATCGTATGAACTGTTCTGTTGGAATTACACAGTTTTTGCTTACTGTTCTTTGAAGTTTCTGTGATGGGAAGAAATAACAGAAGCACCGGAGAAGCAGGGAGAGAGAAAGCCAGAAAAACCACCAGATTTTAAGTCTGAGTCTTAGTGATGATTTTAAAAAATAGAAAGGAAAAAAGAGATTATTAGGGTGAGATACTGGTTGCAAGAGGCTTATTTCTTTGCTCATACGATCTTTTTTTTTTGTGTGTGTAATTCCTCCTTTCTGTGTCATATAGAAGTTTGGACATCTTTGCTAATTCACAGCATTCCGTCGAGGGTATCTTATTCCATTATCGCTTTCTCTTCTAATGACAACAATGCAGAGGTCCTCAGAAAAATATACGCTGTTTTTTATTGCTACCAAGTTGCTTTCAGCTCTTTAGTTCTTATTTTAGTGTTTAATTTTTAAGGTTCCTCTGTCAAAGTCTGAACCTTATTTATTTCTCAAAACTGAAAATGTATATTTCAAAACACCAGGTGAAGAGTATTGCCTAACTGTACGTGCTATTCCTAAGTAAGGGGGAGAAATATTTATTTATCATAATTACGTTTTGTATCAGAGTCTCATTTAAAAGCAAATGTTAAATAAAAAGTAGTGCCTTTACAGCCCTTGTAAGTTGAGAAAAGTAGGAAAGATAATTTTGCTCCAACATGTAATCTTTGCTTTTTACGTTTCATTAACGGGCTGCAGAGGTAAGCCTGAACTTAGAATGCGGGAGAATTGCTAGGCTGTGTTGTTGTCCTAGCTGATTGTCTTCTAATGTCTTTCGGTATATTTGCACTGTGAACGAGCCTGTGTTATGTTTTGCCCTGTACTTGGGTACTAGCTTCTTATTTTTCAGCATCTTTTGAATGAATAAATGCACAACTTAGGTTAAAGAAAAGTCGTCATCTTAAGAGATAATAGAATGTCATTACCCGGTCTTATGGGTTTTCCAAGTATTGTTCTGATAACCTTTTTGTATTCATTTCTTCCCACAGCCTGGTTTTGTGGTATCATCTCTATCACCGTCATTAGCCTGCTTTCCTTGCTAGGTGTGATCTTGATTCCCATCATTAACCAATGGTGCTTCAAATTTCTTCTAACTTTCTTGGTAGCTCTGGCTGTAGGAACAATGAGTGGAGACGCACTACTCCATCTGTTGCCACACGTAAGTACTCCTTACCTTTTACTCTAATTTAAGTGTATAGAACTTACAAAAAGCTGTTGGACAAATGTCGAGAAAAGTTCACTGATGCAGATGAAGATTGACTTGACTGTGAGGGACATTCTGAAACAGTTTTTGAGACTTTCTGTTAATAACAAAGGAAGTAAGTGTGCTTTCCTAAAGAAATATGATTGTATATTCATAGTTACCTAAAATAATTTGAGAAAGGTTAAATCACCTGAGGAGACCCACCAGACCTTTTTAAATTTAGCAGGTATTACTATCCCTTTCTACTAATACCTAGAAGTATTTTAGGGGAGTTCAGCTTCCTGATTACTAGCTTTTTTGAGCTAGAACCGTGTTCTGTTTTGTTTGTAAACTATTCCTTTTATTTTGTTTGACTGTACATGTTTGGAGAAATTAGCTTCTCATATATTTAATCAAGAAATTGTCTAAGTTCCTGGGAAGGTAAGCATTTTTTAATTTTTGTCAGTATACTGAAATTCTCGCAGGGAAGAATTCTTGCAGGAGAAGAACAAGGAGAAGTATTTTCTCTGTGTAAATTCTAATATAAATTCAGGGGGGTGGAGTTGGAACACTTGTATTTCGGATCAGAGTTCAGGCTGTAATTGATTGTAATAGTTAAGAGATCATGAATTTGATTGCCAGTGGGAGTGTAGGAGCAGTAATTCTGTGTGACGTTTCTGAGTCTGTCTATTTCTAGCTATAAAAGATAATGAGAAAGAGGCTGAAGCTTGGTTTTTTTTTTTTTGTTTTTTTTTCCCCCCCTCCCTTCCTTCCTGCACTAAGATTTACCCGGTAAAATATTTTGTATTGATTATAGGCTAATGAAAAGTTTCTCTGGTAAAATACGTTTGTATAAAAAGAATCTTCTTAAATGTTTTTTGCAGTAGTATTCTGGCAAGGTTATGATTTTTGTCATCTGAGCCTGGAGCCATTTCAGTCTACTGAAAGCATCAGGTCGCACATTGTGTTATTATTTTCTCTCCTAATAGTCACATGGAGGCCACAACCACAGTCACCATCATGGCCAAGGTCACATTCATGAGCACAAGCATTCTCATCGACATGCCCATGGACATGGAATAGGGACTGAAGGCTTTCTAGAAGAAAATGATCCGGTGTTGAAAGGTCTTGTTGCTCTTGGAGGCATTTATGTTTTGTTCATCATTGAACATTGTATAAGAATGTACAAGCATTACAATAAACAAAAGGTACGCAGTAAAACTGCATGCTATTAAAAGGAAAAAAAAAAAAAAACATGATACCTGAACTTATCTTCTAAATGTTAAGAAGTCTTCTGTATGATGATTTGTTATTCTGTAAGCATTAACAAGTGCTGCTAACCTGAGTTGTGTTTGATTTCACATGAGGAAGCCCTTTGCTAAAATGGGAGGTCATACCAGCTAACAAGGTAGTTTGTGAAGACAAAGTTGAAATCTGATGGGGGAAAGTCAGACCACTTTAGTCAGGCATATTCGGAGGTAGACTTAAGTAAATAAGGTTATAGCTCTTTCACCGGAATGCAGTGCACTTTTCTGCAAAAATATGACAGGTCATATAAGAAACAGCTAGTAATAGGAGCCAGACAATTGTCAGACAATTTACAAAAACTTAACTGTATACTGTAAGCTAGCATTACCAGCGTAACAGAAGAACTCGGTTTTTCCCCATGGGAAAATGCCAAGACATGCAGAACTCCCACTTTCTACAGATTTCCAGTCAAATTGTTGCTTGTTTCCCTGAAAAAGATTGGATTTTTTGGAATGGGGGCATGCTGTATTGATGTCAGTGGTACAAAAGGAGAGTACCGGAGAGGGGGTATAGATAGTAGATGGGGATTCGAGCTACTGAATATCCCTAGTCATGAAGCAGTCATTCTAAATAAATGTGTAGCACTTGTTTGTCTCCATTGCTTGATTTTGAGGAGAAAATGATTTTGACAAAACTATTCTGGAAAGATTTCGGGTTCTCTGGTTTCACACCAGGCTTGCCGATTTCAGCTGGACAGTAGCTAAAGATTTTCCGTGTTGGAGGACACGCTTAGGTCTTCTGATAAAAGATGAAAGCTCTTACATTGGACATACCTTGTTCAAGATTAATGAATGAATTAAATCCCCTAGACTGCTTTGGCGTATCTGTCATATCTATTATACGGGCTGCGGACAAGAAAGTAGCAAGCTTTTCTCTGAAGGAAAATGTGAGGAAATTATAGGAGTATGAAACTTACTAAAAATGAACAAACAGAAGAGCTGTTCTTGCTGCATATTTGCTTCCTTAAAATAGGCAAATACAATAGTTCTGTATACATGTGCAATCCTTGTCGTAATGTACTCAATTAATGAAATTATTTTGTGTGTGTGTGTGTGTGCGCGCGCGCGCGCATGTGTATTTCTGTGGTAGGTACCTAAGAATTTCCAGTGAGATAGATGTTACCGATGAGCCTTACGAAGGCTGGCATGTACTTCTGCTGAACACATTAAGAGAGAGTAACTTGCTCTGTTTTTAAGAGAGATTTGTGACAGCATTTCAGTTTATCTTTTATTTCTGTCAGTGTTATCTTACAAACTAGATGTTAACTCTGCTTCCTGTTGTAGAATAAGCAGAAATGGTGCAAGAAAAAACCGACTGAAGAATCACCAATTGGAAGGAAACTTTCAGATCACAAATTAAATAATAGACCAGATGCCGACTGGCTTCAGCTCAAACCACTTGCAGGTAAACAATTACTTTCAGAATTCTCTGAACTCATGAGATTCAAAGTAATCGTGGCATGTAGCATGTAACCTCTTGCACGGTTGTGCTGCTGTTACGCAAATCATTGTTAATAAGACTTACTAGGCTTTCTCTGGGCTATTTATTTTGTTTCCCTTAGATGTGAGAGCACTTTGAGCACTTCCTAATATGCCATACAAATAGTTCTCAGATTTCTGAAGCGGTTAGGGTTTTGGGTGGTTGTGGTTCGTGGTTTTGGGGGAGGGGTAATTTGTTAAACTGTTCGTGACTAGTTAAGCCCTGGCAAAAACTACATTAAAAAATTAACACACACAGCTGAAAGAGGAAAATCTGTTACGCTTTGAAGATTCCAGCCTCTGATGTATTCTTATTTGGCTGAGAAGGTTAAAAAAAAAAAACAAAAAACTGATTTCTTCTCATAAGCACAACTGCTTCTCAAGTAGCCAAAACAGCTTTCGAATACTATTCCTCCATTATTATCTGAATGCTCATGAAATCTGAACCCAGGGGAGATGGCATATCCCTCTCTTGAAGGGTGAGAGAAGGGAAAGGGGCTTTGCTCCGTAAACTGCCCTTTCTGTTGCCTGCATGGCTGCTGAATGTGTTGATGAGGAATCTGTGGGCAATATTCATACAAGGGCAATTTTGTTTATTTGAGTGGTTTGTGGAAGGGAGAGTTAGAACTGTAGTCTCCTCCGTTCAGACAACTTAAAATGGGGTTTCACGTGAAACAATGGGCATTGACGTAGAACAAAGAAACGCTTTCAGCTGTGAGTATGGTGATACGTACATGTCTTTTAAAAGTTTTCATTTTCTTTTAATGTGTGATGAGAGAAATTTTGCTTCTAATGGCATAGAGTACTCTTCTTACGTAACTAGTTCTATAACACTGTTCCTCTGAAAATGCCCTCTGCCAAATAGTAAATAATTCATATTAAAGGCTGTGGAAGCCTGTGCTGAATACAAATTTTGAACTGCAGTGCCACTGCCACTCGTCTGAATGGCCATTGCATTTCTCGTTAAACAGCCTCTAAATGTTGTTAGAAAGCCTGTTTATCTAGAAACTGTCTGTCTGCTGAATAGATATTCTGTGCCTGTTGTTTTTTTTTTTTTTTTTAAATTCCACTTAGTATTTGCATATTTTTTACTCTGGAATATTTATGCTTAATTATTTTGATCTAATAACTTCATTGTCCAGAACAGCTTTTTTTCCACAACTCTTTGTTTCTTGGAGCATAGAATGCCAATTTTATTTATTTATTAATACTTTATTAATATTGGAAGACTTAAAATTTATGCCCATTTGCCTTCTGCATTGTTTACATTCTGTATTTCTTTGCAAAAAGGGCCTTGATACACTAGCAGAGTAATGAGCTACATTAGAGAATTTCATTGAATGGTACAAGTGTATAACACAGAGATGCATGCAGTGCATGTGCATGTACAACTTTAAAGATCTGTCATACTCAGCTGCAGATCCTGGTGTGCTCCAGTGAAGTTTTAAGTAGTGACTTGTATGTGCATGCCTACAGCATAACTAGTTAAGGTTTGCTTAGCAGTTTGGATTCCGTCTGCAGCCTATGAGACGTGTTGTTATAGTTCTGGCAACGTTGTTTTTCCAGTTGTTGAACGATAAATTTTTTTCGGCACCAGAGTAACAGCCTAGGTCAGGCCAAACTGGCCGTGTGCGCTGTGAATACAGAGCTGTTGTCTTGTGATGGAGATTTCTAAATGCTCTATATGCAAATCACTGAGAAATAATGCAGTGAGAGAGATCTTTTTTGACTGAATGTTGACCACAGTTTTTAGAATGGGTTGTGCTAAAATAGTTTACATTTTTGCTTTTGAAAAGCAGCTAAAATCTTAGCTCAATGATACAGTAGTTGCTGGCGTTATTTTAAAGAAGAATTAATGCAGTCTCTCTCGACTGGCTTCAACGTAGGAGCAGACGACTCAGTTTTATCTGAAGATCGACTTAATGAAACTGAACTAACTGATTTAGATGGCCAGCTGGAATCTCCTCCCAAAAACTTCTTGTCTGTAGAAGAGGACAACAATATGCACCGTTCTCACAATGATGTTTCACACACTGCTCAAGAGCATGATCCCCATGATTCAGAATACGACAGCCATGGTGAAGATAAAATGACAGCTAGAAAATACAGTCACCACTGGCATCACAAACATTCCCATCATTCCCATGGCCATTGTCATTCGGGAAAAGACCTGAAAGATACCGGGATAGCTAATATCGCTTGGATGGTAATTATGGGAGATGGCATTCACAACTTCAGTGATGGCTTAGCAATAGGTAAGAAAAAAACAAGAGGTATCAATATCAAGAGCTTCTTTTTACCTTGCATAATTTTGGTAATGCTTTACTTATCAGCGATCACAGGTAAGACCTCAAGTTCGCTCCTGTGGTTCCTGGCATTCTTTAACCTTCTTCAGAACAGGAATTAGAAAACAATCGACTGTAGTAGTCTTCCCTTTGTTAATATGCTGTGGCTATTTCCGCCAAGATTATTGTATATTAGCAATAGTAGCAATTTTTGCCAAATACATACAGGTGCAGACAAGACTGCTCAGGATTTATGGAGTACCTGCAATACACATTTGTTGTCTGGGTCTCAGTGTTTGCTTTTGAATAATAAACTGTAAGTTCCTTTTTCCCTTATTTATAACAATATTTATGATAATATCATTTATATTAGTAATAATATTTATAATTGCAATAATTTATAAATAATAAATGTACTAGGAGTCAGGTTTTCAAAATTTAAAAAAGAGTACTGAAGATAACTCAATTCGTGTTTAAGCAAAGTGTTATTTTGTTTTTCTGTCACTTTAGATTGATTTCTAACCGGAGGCAGAGGGAATTAAACTACCGGAGAAATTGGAACCATTACATATTTGATTAGATTAATGTATCATCAGTTCAGATTCGCACAAACCTCTATATGTCATTTGGACTGTAAAGCACATTAATTTGAATAGATGTCACGGGAGTAAAAATGATAGTGAAAGTACTGAAGTACATATATTTGACGTTTTTACCAAGGTAGCCGCTAGTAGAGCGTACAGGGCCATGAGCTACTAGCAGAAGGAACATACTTACCTATTTTGAAGGGTGGGGGATAAGCTACTTGCTAGGGCCTTGAGTTAACCAGGGGAACTGACTACAGTACCTCTGCTTTCTCCAGTTAATTTCCTAAAAATCTAAATTCCCTAAAAATTTAACCTTTTGCTTCGTTTTTGCTGTTGAACAGGTAAGACATTTAAACAGTGGCTTATGAGGCCAAAAGGACCACTACGCCATCTGCTGAGAGCTTCACTGTATGAAAACTCCATTTCTAAATATTCATATCTTGAGCCCAAACAGCTGGTGCTTTGGTGAAATATAGATTTTAGAAGAGCATATATTCGTCACTTGAATATATCATGTTGAGGAATGCATGCTTTTCTGAAGAAAAGTTGAATATCCTCTCTATCTTAAGACTGTGCCTTTTTTCCACCTAATATCAGTTATTGGTGGAGTTATTTAAGGTATGAACTTAAAAGTGATTGAATTCAGTTAGCTTACACAAAAGTAACTGAGGGAGGATTATGTCAATGTTTTTCTCCTTGTTCTTTTCAAAGTTAGTTTTATTAACGTTGCTGGTACACGCTCTAGAAATAAGCATCAAAGCAATAGAGGGCTTATGGGCTAAGTGTTAGTTTGGATTTCCAGTATGGGAGGACGAGAACTGGACTGTTGCGCTTGTGCACGCTTACTGGGCTCATGTACTTGAGTTCCTCCAGATGTAAAAATGGCGCTGTTTATTAGATAGCACTAGCTTGTTGCCTGCATATCTGTGTTTTCCTCTCAGCTGTGATGTCCTTTCTCACAATTTGCCTTACAGATGAACTGAGTAATGAAGTATGCAGTAGCAATGCACATCCAGGAGATTTCCAGTATTTTCAGTTTATATATGGACAGAACATAGACGTAATGAAACAATATTAGAGCATGCATTCTAACAAAAAGGTGTAATCTCAGGAAGTTTGTTGATTAAATTTGCTGACTTGAAAATAGTAAAATGCAATCTGAATCTTATTTTTCTAGGAGCAGCTTTTAGTGCTGGACTGACAGGAGGAATTAGTACATCTATAGCAGTATTTTGTCATGAGCTTCCCCATGAATTAGGTAACTAATTACATAAAGTTAATCTGTTCAATCTCTTTATCTGTATGAAATATGCATCTAACAGCTATTGTGGTGTTTATCATGATAAGCATGATACAATGCAGATCCTACTGGGCTGACCAGAACTTTAGAGAATAACGGAACAAAATTGTTTTTCAGTGTTTATAATGAGAATATTAATACAGGATTATTTGAGCAAGAATCTAGCTGTATCAGTTTCGTGAAGCTTTCCAGGCATGTCTTTCAAATGTCCTTAGGAACATACATTTACAGTTTAATCTTATGGCTCTGCATTTCATATACAGAGTTTCTCACTAGTCCGTGTGGCATTGTCTTTAAAAATGTTGCACGTCCTGTGGCACACTACAGAAAGTTAAATGAATAAGCAAAAAGTTTTCTGGAGTTCTTCGGAAGCTGCTTTGTACCACACAGTCACTAAATGCAGGAGGTATGAATGACTGTTTAGATAACGTCTCTAGGCATTGTTGCTGGTGCCATTCATTCCTCCCCCTGTTTTGAAACATTTCTTCTTGGGGGTTCGCTAACTGTGGTGAAAACTGTTGTCATTCTGTGGGCCATAAGGCACATCACGTGAAATATTAGGGCACTATGGAACTAATGAGAGAACAGCTAGAAAGAGGAGGAGGAGTCTTCCTTTTACCAGCAACTGGAATTGCGCTAGATTAAACTGTATGTAGTCTGTGTAGTCACAGTTTGCTTACGTGCTGAGTTGCTGTCCCTGAATGTTCAAAAGTGAGGTAAAACAAGTACTTCAAAAACCCTTAGAGGTAATGGGTGAAAAGCATTTTATATAGGCGGATACTAAGTACAAGGTAAGTAAGTAATGGGTACAAACGGGACATAGTAGAGGAAACGTTCATGGTTGGACAGTGGTACTGTACAGTAGTTAGAGATAAGTGAAACTGCTAGAGTATGTAATGCAATGTGTGTCATGCTGTGCTGATGGTTTTCTAGGTTAACTTGATCAAATTAACCTTGTATAAGAAGTGAGTAGGAGCTCACTGTACATCCTTCCGATTTTGATTGCAGGTTGAGCAATTAACTTCTAGTATTATCTGACGTGAGACTACTATATTCGTTACCCTCGTGGCTTTATGTCATTTTTCACAAGAGTTCTATCTGAGGGGAGTGGAACTACGGGAGTTGGTTAACAAGATGAAAGTTTAGGTCTTTACAGAATGTCTGCCTCTATCAGCAGTTTTAGTAGAGGTGGCCTGAATTCAAAATAATATAGGTTAACTTGTCACGTCTCAAACCAACCAACTGTTACTCAGCATGGGTGTGAAGTCACTCCTTCTGAATGTAACTGTTCCTTTTCCTAGTGCTATATTTCTCAAATTCATTTGCGCTTTCTCTGGGCACTAATGCCTCCCTTATATTCGGCTTGAATTAGTCAAATGAGGTGTATGTAGATAAGAGGCACATTCACAGGTATTGACCAAGGCTAAACCTGAATTTTTAAGTGCCATGAACAACTTCTGTGAAGTCAAGGCAAGTCTGTATGCCTGGAAGTCATACAAGTCTGCATGCAGTCTGGAAAGACTGCATCTAGACTCCTCCATTTATCTTTACCGATTAACCACTGTCACCTTTCTGTCCATCAGCATGATGAACGGGCACCTTTAAATCATATTTTGATCATGGTCATGCTGCACATAAATACAGTTAGAAAACTGAAGAGTTGTCATATCTTGTTGCCCATTCTCCCTTATAGCCTCTGTAGCACAGTGTACTTTGGCAATGCCATAGATTGGTGAGACAGTAAATGTATCTATGAACGTATCTACTTGTTCTCTTAAGGAGCATTGATAACACAGCACCCCTGTGTTTTGTCCCCATTTTAGGTGATTTTGCTGTGCTTCTTAAAGCAGGTATGACAGTCAAGCAAGCCATTGTGTACAACCTCCTGTCTGCCATGATGGCTTACATAGGGATGCTGATAGGCACAGCTGTGGGACAGTATGCTAATAACATCACCTTGTGGATCTTTGCAATCACTGCAGGCATGTTCCTCTATGTGGCATTGGTTGATATGGTAAGAGTGTTATGATTTTATGTCATTTTTGCATTTCGTGCCTAAAGCCTGGGACTTGAAATTGCACCTACCATGGAATTTTTTTTTGTTATGACACAAAATCAAATATCTATAGACAGTAGATGGCTGATTCTGTTCTGTGCCTTTTTAAACGGTTGCGAATACTTTGAGAGATGTAGCAAAGTTTTTTATAGTTGCTTGCCTGTTTGGGTTTCTGCTGCGGAAGTCTGCCCTTAACTTCTATTGAAATGCAAAAACTATAGTGGGGCTGGGAAAGACACTCACGTTTCCCACTAATAAACATAAGGTGATTGTCTGTTTTGTGGATGGGACATTAGACGCTGGAGTTCCGTCTACTCCTTAGAATTGTTCTCCAGAAAAACTTAATTTTCATACACTCGGTCCTGGAAAGCTTAGTTCTAACCTTTAAAAAGAGCAGTTGGTTAAAACATTGCTTTGATGGTGAAAAGATTTTAAAAAATCATTTGGTGGAGTACATGCTGCTGTTTCAAGGAGTTACCTTATACGTATGTTATATTTAGTTAGTGCACACCATCCATCCAGATCCTTCAGGCAGTAATACGCTTCTGCGCATGTTATCAGTCCATGCTTAATCCTGATTCCTCTCCCAAAGAGCCTCAGAGCTACATTTAAATAAGCCGGTTTGCTTGCTTTTTTTCTTTCCTAAGCCCCAATATGATGATGGTGAGATCAGTTTTCATTTTTTGGATATTTTGTAATACTCTTCTTGCTTAAATATAAAGAAAAGGATAAAGCAAGCCACTTCCCTGTATTGTAAAGACGGATCTCCTATTGTATTAAATTATCAACTAGTTGAACCAGAAACTTCAAGTTTAACTTCTACTTAAAGCTTTAATTCACAGGTATTCAGGTAGCTCTTGGTGCTTCTCTTAGGGGTATCTCCGTTCTGCAGTTTGTGGAGTGCTTCCCTGGATGTCCATCTCTTCATTTGCAAACTCTTCTTTCCTAGTACCTACATCTAAAGCCAAAGGCAAGCTTTATGACAGCTGTTATTTCTCTACTCAAAAAGACTTAAGTAGGATTATTAGATTACTGCTGGGGTCACCAGGTGCGGTTACATACTGTTTATACAAAAATACTCGCATGTAACTGGAGTTCAAGCTTTGCACGATGATCCACTGGAGACTTTTTCTCAAATTCATAGCACCTGTAAAAGATTCAGGCATACTTGATGTATGAGGACCAGTCGGTTTCAGTTCTCAACCGTGGGTAAAATGGCATATTTTGCTGTTCTGAAGTCTTGTAAACGGTGCCTTTGCTTCACTCCCAAATCTCTTTAGAGATTCAGTTGCCGTATCTGCTAGCTCTCTTGGCCTGCACTGCTAGCCTGCGTACGTTTGTGCTGACTGCCCTATTTTCAAACCAGGTTTTTTAGCAGCTCCCCGGAAGTTACTTAGTGCAGGATTGAAAAGTGTCATGTGTGACTCTCATTGGCTGAGTTACCAAAGCAGGCATGCTTGTGTACCATCTGTGAGTTGCTTTCAGCCACAGACACACACAGACTTCAAGTTTCAGATATTCTTATTGAAACAACTTATCACTTTTTATCAGTCACTGTTTATGAGGCTGTCAGGTGTCTGCCCCGGTATGGGCTGACTGTATTGTTTCCCTGGGGCCAACTAAGGCAGCTGGCCCTATGAAGACCCCTCTGCCTTTGCCGCTGTGGCCTTGCAGTTCCCAGTTCCTAGCAGTGAACAATGAGTCTGGTTTCTTAGCCTCGTGCCCTTTTGGCATTGCTGAAAGCAAGGTTTAAGTGTCCTCTGAATTTCCTGGTGTCAGCAGAAGCTGTCTTGGCTACTCTGCCCACTGACAATTTTACCTCTGCCGTTATTTCTGTATTCAGCATTACTACCACATTGGTGCTCAAGAAAATTAATGTCATTGGAGTTGCCCGCTTGCTTCTAGGTGGTGTCTTCCACCTCTGATTTGAGAGCTTTCAATTAATCTCAGCTTTGGTTCTGAAGGTCTTGTGTTAGTCCTGTTTGGGACTAACAGGGACCGTTAGGTCTCCTAGAACCAGGAATCACGAAAGTAAAGCAAAGCTTTGTTCATCATTGGATTTATTTCTGTCTGCAGTTAGTAAAAAATGGAATAGTTCACGATGGAGAGCCTTGCAAAGTTATTTGGCTACTTCTGTTAATATACTCTAGTGACGAAGTCTCTATTTCAAGGTAAATGGATCCTTTTCAGGCCTTGCTAAAAGAGGGGTTGGAAGTTCAAGAATGATCATGCGTGCATCTTTTAGATGTTCTGCAGTAGCCTGTAATTACTGAAATACCACTTCCCTGTAAGTCTTGTGGCTGACATTTATTTCCTGACCTCATTTTGTCTGAAGACTCAGGTGTAAAGAGAAGCAGTGTTTTCATTCTTGTATTCCTTGTCCTCTTCCTTGGTCATCACAGCAGCATCCAAGTAGTTAAGGCCCAATGGTCTGACTCTAAACAAGAGCAAGAAGTACCTTGCAAGACACGCTTGAAAACCGGATCAGATTTTTGTCTTGATATTTCCATAATCTGTTTCCCTCTCAAAGACCTTACATTTTTGTCATCTGATATTTAGTCGGAACAAAGAGTTCCATTCTTCCCTAGCCTGACAGAGATCCACTTAGCTGCAGTTTTCTATCTGTTCTTTACCCCAGCTCATTGAGAAATAGACCTTTTGGTGTTCTTGCATCCGATTGTCCTGAAATGTATCTAATTACATCCTTTCCAATGGTAAACAATACTCTTGTGCAGTACAATCTAAAGTCATGACTTTTTTAACCCTTTATGCTTTCTGTGGCTTCTAGTGTCGTTCCATGTGGTGATAACTATCAGAAGAATAATCAAGAAGATCCTCCTGCCTTCCCTTCAGTTGTTACACTGGATTCTCCTAAATTCCTTCTCAGTGCAACTTGACAATGTCATCTTATGGGAAATAAATGTATCTGTCATATGTAGATAGATAGATAGATAGATAGATAGATAGAAGCTAATAAAGCAAAAAGTTTAGTAACCTTAACACAGATATACTCTCAAACTGGATAACTGGCAATGTGAAAGCCCATTATAATTATGCTAAGGTGAAGTCTTTTCTCCGTCATCAGAGTACATTCCAACAGATCTCAAACAACATCTGGCATCTCTGAAAAATTTCTTCCTGGTCTCTGTCAAGCTGCTGTCTGGAGCTCTCTTTATATCTCCCTGAACTACTGTGCCGTTGCAGAGACATCTAGAGTTCAAGCAATACTGGGCAGATCAGTTATGCAGTTCCTATTTGAATGAGGGACTTGAGGGAGATTTGCCTTCAGGTAAATGTGAATATGCGAGAGGTTCCTCCAGTGCTCATATGGGTGGACTACATCTCGGACTGAAGGAGGGGATTTTTTTTTTACCGGCAAAAACCCAGTAACAAGGTCTTTGGGCACACAGCCTCCTTCCACCCTTCTTCTCCCTCCCTGGAGTTTTTCCAAGATTCCTTCTGGGAATCTGTAGCTGAGTGAGAGCTGAAGTGGCACTGACCTCCTCTGCCGTGCATGTTCATGCTCGGAGTACAAGAAAGAGGAGCATGAGCATGCCTCTGCAGATGCAGTAACTATATAAATAAATACCTGGAATAGAGCTATGGGATGTGTGTGCCCATAATACTGGTTACAGGTAAATAACTTCTGTTCCTATCTTAAAGGGGTATTTTACTTGCTGTTCAGTTCCATAGCTTTGGGGATACGTGACAGAGCTGTGACTATCTGTAGCGAAGACTTCCGCTTCTACTAATCGTGCTTTCCCTTTTGATGCCCATGACGGGAAACTTTGCAAGTTTTGGAGATAGAGCACCCTGGTCTGCCTGGGTTTTAAAACAGATGCCCAAATGTTCTTTGGTTATCCTTAAGTTTATCTGCAGATTTTGGAATATCAATATTATGTCTCTGTAGATCTTGATTATGAAGCTTGAATCGTGTGTACTTCTTCCAGCTTCCAAAATTGGCAGCAACAATTCTAGCACAATTCTCTGGTTAGGTTTTGTAGTATTTGGTGAATACAACTCAGATTTCCAAAGATACTAATTCATTTCTTCAGCAAATCTTGCCTGCCGACATGAGGACCTGTATGGCAATCTTCAGTAGTGTAAAGTCTGTGATTACTTCATTTATCCTTAATGACTTATGGTACTTTGTAATTTGCTATAGTGTTTGCAGTTAGGCTGTCTGGTCTGTTCTACAAAGGGTAAACCTTTTCTAGCTGAGTATATTTTTAATAGAGATTTAAATTCCCAGCAAATCAAATTAATTGGCAGCTTTTTGTATCTTTTGAAATACAGTAATATAAGACCGGGTGGGTCCTTTTACTTGTCCTTTTGGCAGATTTGATGATCTGATAACTTGTCATTGTCTGTTGTACAGCATTCAGGTACTCGGAATAACAAAACTGTTATAGCCTCCCTAATGAAGGAACAGTAGGTAGTTCTAGAGACTCGTGCTGTATACTGCCTGAAGTCTCTGTTTGGATCATACGAAAAGAGAGGCGTCTTTGTTCCGTATGGTATTTTTCTATACTGAGCGTGCCTTAGCTCGTGCATTTTTGAATCTCAGTTACTTGTGCAGCATTTTAAAGTATTCTTGTTTCATATGGGTGGTTTTGTTAAACACTTCATATCTTTTAAGTCCGCTGCTATTTGGTGCTGTCGTCAGTGCCGTTTGACTTTTCTTCGTAGGTGGGGAAGTCTTATGAATATCCAGCACTGTCAGAATTTTTAATGGATTTACATAGAGTTTCTCTTTAACTGCTTGTGACATACAGGTTGTTCCCTGTTACTCCCTTATTTATAAGGGAAATATATATGAATACGTGTTAGCTTATAACAGCACATGAATGGCTAAGTTAATTAGACCAGTCATTATAAACGCTTCAATATAAGGATATATTTATAGCAATGCAATTAGTGTAGCAATAATCAAAGCTGCTTCTTATGTTTATTTGAGCGTGACTTGGTTTTAATTGAGTAAAAGAACATGAAAGAGCAGAGCTCAAAGAAAGCTGGGCTGGTCCTTATCCTGAGGAACTTGAAGTTCAAATAAATATGCAGTCCAATAAAAGCTTTTAAAAAATGCCCAAAGGAAAGGCTGTGGCATAGTTCACTTTGTTTTGTAAACATGTAATGTGTTTGAGACCACGTTTTTCTCAAATGTAATGACTAGTTAGAGTTTTAACTATTTCTTAATGGACTGTTTTTATAACTGAAGGCTGGAATGTTTTTCTTGGTTAGTACTGTCTTGTAAACTTGTCAGTATATAAATGGAATAGAAGTGAAATGACTCTCTCTGAATTGTTTTTCATTTTAGCTTCCAGAAATGCTTCATGGAGATGGAGATAATGAAGAGCATGGTTATTGTCCTGTGGGGCAGTTCATTCTTCAGAATCTAGGCCTGCTTCTTGGATTTGCCATCATGCTGGTGATTGCCCTCTACGAAGATAAAATTGTGCTCGACATCCAGTTTTGACCATCTCTGGTAATCACTGTGGTTACAATGATGTTACTGTATGGCTTTGAGTCTGCACTGTTTCACTGTATGCACATTGCTCAGAGGAAAAGCAGCAGCTTGCACTACTTACACAAGTACAGTATATTCATTTCTGTGTAGATTACCTTCGGCTTTTTTTCTAATTAAAATTGGATATGATGACCCAAAGCATCCTCTAAAGTCAAGTGACAGACAATTAGGAAATACTGAATGTGAGAAATGGGTTCAGTGTGCTATACAGGAAGCACTGCTTGCTTGAGAAAAGAAAAGAAAAAGTACAGTGAAGTATCTACTCTTTTGGGATACTATCCTTTCATACTACATTTGAACAGAACCCAGAAAATCTTAGAGCTAAAATTCATACCTCTTGCAAAGAACCGGAGTAAGCTTTTAATGCCGCATAAGGCTTAAGTAGTGCATATATATATTTTTATATATATATATATATATATTCTGTGCTGATTCCTCTGCATAGTAGTGACAAGTATTAAATCTTACAACACCACATGACTGGAAACCATTGTGCTGGTTTAAATTACAAATAAAATCCTAAACACCATTTAAATTGTTTAACTACACATTAAGCTGCACTCCCTCATTGTAAACTTCATGTGTAAGAAGGCAGGCTGTTGCAATGTACACTGCGAAGAGCTGTGTTCTGTCGAGGATCAGTTTGACAATGTTTTCTTGACTAAGATTTATTTGATGTTTGTTCCTTGATATTAGTAGGAAAATGCAAAACGCAGTAGAATTAGTGTTAGCTTGGAGAAATCCCTGTTGTCCGAGTTATTGAGGTATTTCTGGTTCTTTTTTACAGATGCTAAACATGTATTGTATGCCACTTGCAACCTAAACTACTGAGGAATTTGTGGCTGTGAATTTGTGCAAACTCTCTTTTAACAGAGAGTCCATATGGGAATTTCTCCATTTTTAACAGTTATTTTGGGATGTTTCTTTCCTTTTATGTTAAAACACTCTAAAGTGCAAGATGCTCTAGTTACTGAACCTGGGCACGAAGGTTAAATTATGCTCTTGTGTATGTAGTTCTGGTGGGTTATTTACAATACTGTACTATCAGATCAAAAATCAGTTTCTGCAATGCCTTGGTATTTGCCATTGTGGCACTGGCCATTTCTGGCAGTAGACAGTATGTAGGAAGATTTCTACTTCCAGCATAAAGCAGTTCATTTCTACAATATTTTTTTACAATTTTGGTATTTAAATTAGATTATTAAAAAGCAGATGTAATAGATCCATGGTGCGTGTAATTTGGAAGGACAGATGGAAAATTTGGGCCTTAACTTGCTGGGATCAGCTGTCCTGGATTGGAATGTGCTGAGATGCTTGTATTGCCATCTTGTACCCATCTCCCTTAAAAAATTGTGAGTTTGTGAGGAGTGCAAGTTGACTCTCTAGTACCAGTCCTGAGCATGGGAGTAGCCTTTTTTAAAACATACAGTTTGTCGTCCTTTATGTGTATGCCAGGTAAGCTGTATTTTGACGATGTGCCGTTTTGTTTCAGTCTGCTTGGCGCCAGTGTAGCTGCTAAAAAACATACCGATCCTAACGCCTTTAACAAGAGCCAGTTGGTATCTTCATTCCATTTCAAGTTTGTGTGTGTTTCCTGTGGCCCTTTTTGCTTTTTGAAGCTTCAGGTGATAATTTAATTTAGTTTGTACTAAGAGCAGCTCATACATTTTAAAGGTATCAATTGGTTCTTGCCAGTATTTATTTCTTCCTAACGCAGTATCAAGAAACAGTATTAAAGGTCCATTTCAAAGAAGGGTGCAGTTTCTTCAGTGAAGAAGCCAAAAGCCCATGGTCCAGTTATGCAGTCATTTGATGCTCTGAACTTAGTGGGGGGGAGGGAGGGGTTTGTTTTTTGTTTTTTAAACAGGTGTACTATTGGACCCTAATTAGCAAATACACTGTTGGTTGTTTCAGATGAATTTCTGCAGTGCAAAGATCCTGGGTGACGTTTTTTTTCATAGAGCCCAAGTTAGGTCCCCAGGTGCAATTTTCAGAGACTTAAGTAACTGGATACCTTCTGAGGATCTGAGCTGAAACAACCTAGGTTGCTTATGTGTTAGAGTGACCTTTAACTTTAATGTTGTGAATTCTGTCAAGTATAAGGGGGGGTCGTTATGCGGCTGAATTGATATTTTGTCAAATCATTTTTTTGTTATTTCTTTTAATTCTTTTCAAATGAAGATCTCACTATTTCAGGCAGTATATTTACTTTTGTATTAGTTGAAATGCAGTTATAGCTTAATACACTGCCTCTATAGGAAAATAGTTAACCTCCTCCCAAGATCATCTTCAGACAAGGGAAAAACATGGTCAGTGAAGGTAGGTACTGCATTTCTCATATTAAATATGAGGTTTTTTCCCTTTTTATTTTTCTAGTATTTATTACAAGCTATGGAGAGCAGTGTAACAGCTGTGGTTTCTATAGGTTTCCACCAGTATTGAGTTCCAAGTCATTTTAACGTACAATTTTAGGTCACGTTACAGACAATCTGAATTCCACTGCATTTCTAGGTGGCTTCAACATTCCGTTCTGCTTGAATCCAGAGTCTCATTTAACTGATACGTATTTGTTGGAGGGCATAAATGTTACTTGTATATTACAATGCTGTCACTGTGTGACATCCCATATGAATTTTTGATGTAGATCACATTGCACTCAATCAGCTGTGATTATGCTTAGAAAATATTGTAGTAGATGCAGTGTGATTTTTTCCCCCCCCCCCACCCCACCCCACCCCACCCCAATAACAATTGAGTCTATGGTTTTAAAATGTGATTATGGTCCTATAAGATACTTGCTGAGCTATGAGTCTTTTTGTTATAACTAAATCATTTTTAAAAATTTTATAAAGCTGGAAATGATCAAATGCTGTTTTGTTCATTGTCAACAGTGTTGTGTTCATTTTATGTATGTTCCTTATTTATAAGGAGCCTTCAGAAAATAAAATTATTCAAGGAGCAGATATTCTGGTTGGCTTTTATAAGGTTTTATTGTACACCGTTATGTTTTAGTGTATTCTTTCAAATCTCATGAAAGGCACAAATGCAGCATTGTAAACAAACTCCTTTTATATGTTGATTCTCTTTTTTAAGTGATATTTAAGCATTGACATGCATCCCTTATAAGTGAACTGGAAAGTGAGCCTCAATAAATTGTGGTAAAATCATGAGTTAAGCTGGCATAATAATGCCACGCCTCGTCTGATCCAGTGTTCTTCGGGTTTATCTGAAGGGAGAATCATTGCGATGACAAAGTTGGTGGAATGGCCTGTAGTTGACAGGATCCCTCTTCTCTCACTGGTCTTGTACACTGGGGCCAGGTAACTTGGTCGCTGTGGAATCTCTGTTTTCTTGCAGGGCTTTAGCCATATCTGCAGTAGAGAATAAAATAATCCTTTTCAGCTTTAAAAAAAAAAAAATCAAGAAACTCTCTTGGCTTTGTCCAAAGTGTTCCTTTTTGGTTTTGTTTGCTTTTATACAGCTAGCCCTGAAAAACTTGTTTCCTGTTTTCTTTCTTAGCAGCTTGATCCCTCTCCCAAAATAAGCAACCCCCAACTCTCCTGTTGCCATCATGATTTGCAAAGGATTCTCTGCTCCTATCAGAAACTTAATTTCTAATTCGGCACAAAATGTCCTCAACTTACTTTAAAGAGTTTTAAGAATTACCTTATTACTTCCTTTGAGACTAGAACTCAGGGTATGGATCCCACCATATTTATTGGTAGAACATGTCACCAAATGAAAGATACTGACCACAGGTACCGTGTCATAGAGGATTTTCGGATAAGATTCTCCTAGCTTCTTAGTCTGTCTGTTCCAGCAGGCTCCATCCAAGAACAATCCCCAAACGTAGACCCCTGAATCAGTTGTAAAAGACACTGTATTACACAAAAACTGAAAATGTCTTCCAGCAGAGGGCAGCACCTCGTGTGTGACACACTTTGCTAAGAGACTGTAGTGTTTGTGGGCCTTTGTTAATTCTTTGTGTTGAAAGGTTGATGACCTAACTTTTTGAATGTGTAACACTCTTATGCTGTATTGCAATTTATTATGATTAGAGTTATAAAAAGTTACAAGAGCCAACAGTTCCCTAGTCTGTCCTGCCTTTTCTGCATGTTGGGTGAGGCGCAAAGCTATTCCAAAATACAAGACACCTGTGTAACAATTTTACAGTTGTCATTATTAGAAAGTGCTCTGTGTGTGTGTGTGTGTGTGTGTGTGTGCGTGCGCGCGCACGTGTATCTGTGTGTATGTATATTGGTATATGTGTGTGTGTGTGCACATATGCGTGTGCATGTGTGTGAAGGCATGTTTATATGTATGTGTATACAACATGTATGGGTATGTGTATATATGTATGCAGGTGTGTATGTATATGTTCGTGTGTGTGCACATGCGTGCATCTGTGTGCACATACAAAGGTGTCTCTGTAGGAGTGTGTGTACATCTGTATGTGTATACATGTCTGTGCATACACAAACACCCACCCAAATACACACTCTAACACACACACACAAATACACGTGTGCACACACATCCAAATACATGCACACATACACACACACACACCCCCAAAGGCATATACACACACATAAATGCACACACAAACATACACACATAAATACAAATACACCCACGTAAACAGAAATCTGCACACAAAAAACGTGCACTTGCACACAAATACACACACACACACACACACTACTTACTTAAATATGCATATACACATGCACAGAAACACACAGAGATGCACAAATACATGCACGCACATACACTGAAACAGCTCACAGACACGCATGCACACGTACACACACACACACACACACACACACACACTCACTCACTAAATATTGTAAGCTTGGAAGTTTCAAAACTTGGTTTGAGCATATTAACAGCCTTCATAGTGTTTCACTGCTTGTTTCAAATTACCATTTTCATGCCTTTCTGAAACAGTTCATTAAAGGAGTTAAATGTTTAAAAATACAAACCGCAACTATCTTATTACTGTTGTCATTCCATCTACTCTAACTCAAGAAGACAATAATAGACCAACACCTGTTTTTCATCAGACTTGCACCTTCATGCTGCGTATACTGAAAACTGGAACGTCTAAAACAAGAAATAAACCTGCTCCAACAGAACGAGTTGAAAGCGACTAGATGTACATCTCCCAGGCAGCCTGCCAACCCCTTCTTTACACAACTTCCAGTCAAACTGGCCCTCAGAAAAATATTAAAAAGAATATTAAGAACTGGTCAGTTCTTATCTCTCCTTGTTCTGAGGAAAGGCAGGTTCAGCAAACTAGCTGCAACTGGAACTTAAGGTAGGCAACATATCCTAGAGTGATTCGGAAAATACTTTATTTTTCCCCCTTAAAGCAGTCCACTACTGCACCTTATGATCTCATTAGCAAGACTGTGTTTCTTCTAGGGATAACGAAATTAGCATATCCAAATCCTCTACTAACTATCTTTCTTGCTTTCATTGGGCTAGGAAAATACTGTGTATCTTTGGGCACATACATACATTGTGGCATGAAATAAAGGAAAAGAAAATGCAGGCTAAATATCACTTGAAGTTTGATCTGTTGTGGAAAAGTTTGGGCTAAGGAGAGACTTCTGCTGTTATTTTATACCTGTAGGCCATTCCAAGTTCACTAATGTCAGCAGTAATTGCTTATTTAAATAGTATTTTGCTGCATCACCTTTTGTGCATCTCCTGGGGATGTTACCAGTACAGTGCTATACGGTTTCCAACTAAATTCATTAAATTAATTGCATAATTCTGATTGATTGCAAATTTATGTGAACCTCTGAATATATCAGCATAGGCAGGTAATTGCGTCACACATTTACTTACCGTCTTCAGGAGCATTATTGTATTCCTTATCGTCCAGCACTTCATAGTCAAATTCTAGTAAGTCTATTGGAATAGTGTATTTTCTGGCATAGTTCTGCTGAGCACCTGTTAAGAACGCTTGTGTGAAGAAGAATCCTGAAATCCAGAAGACTGGCGGAGTCCCATTTTCATACCACTGCTGCAGCAGCAAAAGCGGACGGAGGAGAAAAGCAGCAAGTAAGTTGGATTTTATTTATTTATTATAGTATTCAGGAAAACAAATAATAACAGAGTAACATTGAAAGTAATTTTTGTCTTTGTGAGTCCAGGGTTGCCTTTTCTTTTCAGAAAGCAGCAGTATTTTGGATGGCTGTCATGCCTTTTTAACAAAGTTGTTTGTTTAAAAATGTAACAAACTTGTGAGGGGAAAAAAAAAGAAAACCACTCTGTTGCCTGGAAATATTTAGCTTCTGTGAATGTATTAGGCTGGTAAACATGCAGCACTTACTTATTTACTTACTTATGGAATATCAACAAATGATTATTTCGTTCTCCTCCAGTATCGGAGGCTGTTCAGCGTTCACCTTTGTTTCTCTGTGCAGATGGTAGAGCCCCAACTAATTTCTTGCAGGCCGTTTTTGAAACGGTCACATTTCCCTTCCAGACCTAAAGTCACATCTCTGAAGTATGCACAGCAAGGTGAAGATGAGGAGGGATGATTTCCTCATGATGACGAAACATGACCTAATTAAACCTGCAGTGATTTGAGAAGAACAAAAGTTCTTCTCCTAGCTTACATCACGAAAGCTTCTGTATAAAAAAAACGCTAAAAATAATGCCAAAATTCATTGGTTTTTGGTTGTAATGTGTGGTGTGTGAGGTCTATAGCAACTGTGAATAATTACTGCATGCAAGAAGACATTTTTCTGATTGTTGCACATGTTGGTTTTTGAGATGAACAATTTCAGAAAAACTCAAATTGCGTTACCATTATCATCTGCCACAGAAAATTCGTTGCTAAACCAGTTGTCTTCTTATCAAGTAGTTCTCCTCCCAAAAAGAAAAATAATCCTTCTCACAGGCAATAGCATTTCTGTTGCTTTTACATACTGCTGTCAGGCTTATTATAGCTTAAGGGGGAAGCTACTGAGGTATGTTGACAGGGTGATGTGTGTTCAAAAACACAAAGCTGGTGTTCTCTGAGTAACTGCAAATGCAGAATTTGCAAGTATCTTTCTATACCTGAAGCCAGATGTTTCTTTTTTTCTTTTTTCTTTCTTTTCTTTTTTTAATTTACCTAAGTTTTGGTCCTGGCGTTTTTGTCCATCTTAACGGCTATTCCTACAGCAGGTACAGAGGAGGCTACCTGGTAGGAATTACTTACGTATTTCATCTTTCGGGTTTGAACTGTCTAAATCAGTTCCATCTTCAGTGTCAAAGGCCTAGATCAGCCTTCATGCTTTCATGCTGATCTTTTAGTCAATTCAAGAGCAAGGTTTACCACGTAAGGTCACTAAGCCACAGACCGTGAGACCATATATTGCTCAGTTAAAGTCAGTTTGGTGAATCTGCAGTCATACAGGTGATGGACCCTGTTAGTCTCCCTAACTCATTCAGTTTTCTTCTACAGCACTCTCCAGAAAGCTTGATATTTGACCTTAATTAACGTAAAAGATGCAGTGTTAAAATGCTTTCCTAGTTTAAACTTGCTCATTGGAAAAGTCGCTCAACAGTATCTTCTTAAGGTATATGTTATTTACCTACACTACCACCACACACATCTGTATGCAATTTAAGAAGCCCTTAGTAAATTCACTTTGGAAGGCCAATTCTGGCATCTGTTGTACTGTAGTATTGATGTATTGCACCCTCCGTTATGAGATGTAGGGTACAAGGCAAAACATAGCGCTTCATTAGATGCTCTGTTGAGCACGCTGCTGTACAAAGAGATGCACCAAGGAACTGAGCTCTACATGTCAGTTATTCAGAGTAAGTACACGTGTGTGCGCGCGCGCGTGTGCATGTGTGCGCGCGCGTGTGCACGTGTGGAGATGTCATCTGAGTTCACGAGACAAAAACAACAAGCAGCATTGAACAAATTTGTATAAACAGGGTGTTCTCACCTGTAAGAACTTCAGTCTACTAAGGAAGTCATTCACATAGCTGCCAAGGGGCTTGAGACTTGGATAAGACTTACTCATCCATAATCCTGGAATTTTGCCTTTCAAAATGCTGTTTACCACTTCCTCCAGTTCAGCAGACATCACTACTAGTCCCTAAAAGAAATTTGGAATAGAAAATGTCTAAATATTTTTTTTTGCTTATAACA